TTCAGCAATTCAGAAAACACACACTCATTGGTTGGTGAGGGAGAGAGAAGTGACGAGAATGTACCTGCTCGAGTTTCGCCTTCTCTGATTCGCCGTTGGAGTGAGTGGAAACCGGAGACACTTGCGAAGAAGCGCGTGCGATTAATGGAAGCTTTTTCCATCGTTGACCAGCGAGGGAGGAACCGAGAGAGGAAGAAGAACGAGTCAAATTGAGAGGGAGTGAGGGCAGGGAATATGGCCGGAGAAATGGTTGGGGGAGACGAGGGGCGGCGATGGCGGAGGCTGAGAGAGGAGCCGCCGCCGCGAAGCTGCCGGCGCGTGTTGCCGGCAGAAGTAGCGTTTGCATGGCTGTGGTTGGTGAGAAGAGAAGAAATAGAATGGTCTCCGTTTGGCTTTTATGGTCTCTTCTTTTTCAGTCCTGTACTTACCTCATTACCACGCTTTCAAATTCGAATCCAAGGGGTTGCAAGGCCCAGTTTACGGTTAAGATATTTTGGGCCACTTTCTCGTACCTGTTGGGCCTTCATTACTGAATCATTGCTCACTGTGTTGGCAAATGTTCATACCACCATGCCTCATGAAGATTTGAAGACCAAAACTTGTCCATAGAGCATAATGGGTAGGCGAACTACTTATTAGACTTTTACTATATACATCTTCCAACTTACTAAGCACACTGCACTTCCACTTCTCTTATTTTTTACTATGTAAAATTACTTCAATACCCTTCATTTCTTTTAAAAAAAATACTCCTCGTTTCGTGTTGTGTTTCTTTTTTCTTCTATTCATGTCATGAAGACATGGAAAATAAAATGAAGGTTTAAGATTACAAATAAATAAAGTGTACTTATGTATTAATTTACTCTAAATAAATAAATTAATTAATGAGGGTGATTTATGATTCACGGACAATGTCATCAATTTGGTGCAAAAATAATAAGAAAATATTAAAAGTTATATATCTCTTATGCTATATTATATTAAACCCCGGATCCTCTGTTATTCACGGTAGTTCATGATCTCAAGTCCAAAACTATATTCGTGGATTCACACTATTTTTATATAAAAATAATAATCTTAAGGGCCGAAATCATTTTCGGCTCAAAAAAGTGGCTGAAAAATGATAATTAGGAGGCGAAGACACACTCCTAGAATCACGAGGTCTAATTTTAGACAAAACTTTTTGCAATTTGTTTGATCATAAATAGGCAGACATGTGATGATGCAATGTTGTCGTTATCGAGCATGTTAGGTGACAAATATATAATGTTGTCACACGTGTCGTAGTTCACTGACCTCTCAACGGTAGTGCTGAGAAAAAACCAAAAAGAAACAAATGCATCATGACCGCTGAAAGAAAGGGCAAGACAACCTGAGCTAAAAAAAAAAGTAAAAGAGGGAAGTGGATTCAAAGGTGGATACGGCTTGTCATCCCTTTAAACAACTTTGAACATAGATGGATTCAAAAAGCATCCACTTTAAAAAACTTTGAGCAAAGTAAGGCCAGGTTTTGGGATTTTACTGCGCCATCACCCCTTTCTTATTTCCTTATGTCACAAGTAAGAGGAGATGTTACTTTACCATTTCTTTGCATGCATCTTTATTAATCAATTAAAAAGAAATATAAACTTTCATCCATGTTATCGTTGTTGTCTAGCTTCACTTTAGTCTAGGCAAGCTTGTAAGTTTTTCCGGGTATGCCTTATATACTGCTTTTGGACAACCCTCTCAACAATTAAGAGATCCATTCGAAAAACATGGGGAATAGTTGAAGTAATGAGCCCTCTATATATAGAAGACTCATTACTTCAATTAAGATAATCCAAAATTATTTCATTTTTTCGTTGAAACTTTAGGGGTTCTCTAAAAAAGATAGCGAGAAAAATAATTCCTAAAGTCGAGACTAAGAGAAATGTATAACTATAGAATTGTATCTTCTTTTTTTTTTGTCATTTTTTAAAATCTAAAAATTTTGTTTTGCGCGTACATAGTATATATTGGATTTATATAGAAGTTTATATGGTGATTATTGGACTGTTTTACTTTTACAAGTGAAAGTTGATAAAAAAAAATGTTTAAACACTCTTAGGCACAACAATTCAATTTATATACTCTTTACTTTTCTTCACCTTAACTTGCTTGGGACTTTGTTTATTTTTCAACAAGGAAAAATAATTTAACCTTGTACCCATCACATATCGACAAACAGCCTTGTAAATAAGAAATAATGTAACCTTTAACCTTGTATATAAAGGCATAAACAAATGGGTTGAATTTAGTGGAGGGAGTCTTGCAAAGTCACTAACCAACATTGGTATTCTTTATTGGAAGAGAACAAGTGTTTACATTTATTGCTAAGATGATTGTCTCTAGAAAATTACCAAACAAATAAGAAAAAAACTTACAAGAGATACTTACATATTTAACCACTGAGCTGCGCATCTATTCTATTGTAACAAATCAAAATTCAAGACAAAAGTGTCGCATGTGATTCATGAAACGGGCTCATGGTCTCATATATTCACCATAGAAACCTCGTGTCTATCTCTACTCCCATGGACACGATTATAAACACATCATTCTTCAATGACACTTATGTTTGCAGCCTACATTTTAGAGTTGTTTATTCTTATTTTGGGCATTTCAAATGATTGTTTTTCCTGTATTTAAGAAGAGGGGCACCATTTTTATCCATATTGCTTGTATCTCATTTCACACAGTCCAAAGACGGGTTATAGAGGCTTTTCACAAACTAATTCTTTTGGCTTCTTCTCTGGGACCATTGCTTCAAGTAGGGTCCTGTTATTAGCAGTTGGGGAATACCATTCAATTTCTTGTCATCTGTTGCATGAGTTTTCCCAATCATACCGAAAGAAACTTTTGCAACTGTTTGTGAACTAAAATACTTCTACTTCCAAGTTGTTTTCCAAAATCAGCATAGAAAAAAGAAATGAACTCAACATCATCCATTCATCATCAACTTTTTATCGTCATAGATTATAATTTTATAAGAGACTTGTTGTGAAAGGACAAAAGTACTTTTCATTTTGCAAGTTGGAATGGACCAATCATAACTATATAAACTAATCTTTAATTTACCATTTAAAGTAGTTATTTAGTTCCTACTTGTTGTTAATGATTAATAATTATACATTTTTTAAAGTTTCGTTCCTAAATTCTCCCATTTTATAGCTCCAAAACACTTCTTTTCTTGCAAGTTGCAAAATTCCTTTAGTGGAGAAACTATTGGTCAGGTCTAGTGATCTAGAAAAGATAGACAATCAAGTCCAACTAGTAGTTACAGAAATCGTTGTGCGAGACCATTCCCACATTCTTCTCAGATAGTACACTGGATCTGCAAGTAAGCTTCTGTCGACTCATTGAAATGCATTTAAGAATTTAAGCAATCCAACAAAAGTATTAGTGTGTTCTTAACTTCATATGGAATTAATCACTTACTTGCACAGTGTCCTCGCTTTGTTTTTTAAAAACCGCTTGTTCATTCATAGTCTTGGATTCCGTTCATCTCAGAAAAAGGTAAAGTCTCATGTGAAAGTTTTGTCCCTTTTATGAAGTTACAAGCATACTCACGAATAAAATATATACAGATCTTCAGTCTTGACATATATAGATAAGTTTAAATCTGTTATATGGTAAAACAAGTAAGTAACCTAGTGACTGAGGTTAAAAAATGGAGAATTCGGGACAGTTGATATTAAATATGTGTTGTTATTCTTTTTTTAACAGTAAGGGCTATGAAATTTTTCCTCTTAAAAATTATGGTCTAGAACTACATAGACTACATTAATGATAGACAATAATTTATCACTTTTAAGGTTGGAATTAAGATTATTCACGACATGCCTTTTGAATCCTTCAGTGTCCATTATTTAAGAAAATGATGGTGACACGGGCAGTTGTCACAAGTTTAATTGCTATTGAAGCAGCAACATGTGAAGTCACAGTAACAACTCCCCATTTACTGCTGCCATGAATGCCCTTTACTTGTATAGTGAATTAGAGATTAATGAAATGTTTTTTCTCCCCCATGTAGTTTACTTTATGCCCGTGACCCTCCATCTTGTTATTATTAAACTGTACGTTTCAAACCAGAAAGCACATGTGTCCAAATGGTGATTAGTGACTTTGGTAGCTTAGCTACACTGAAGACTTGAAAATTACTATTTGTTATCACTAACTTTTTTTCTCTTTTACAATGCTGGCAACAAAATTAGAACTTAAGATCTAGGACATATTATCTAAAGTCTAAACTTTACATTACTGGGTTAATCTTTGTGATTTGTATTTATAATCACTAATCACTAACTACTATTGAGAATTTGACACCACTTCAGCATCATTGTCCGAATTGTACTCTTGTCTTTGACCATGATAGGAACCAAACGTAGGTGGTACCGAACCCAACGAAAACGGGGTAAACACAAACAGAAGAAAGAGATGCCCCCGCCCCTTCCGGTCCCAAGGCCTCAGCTTATTGTCTCATTGCAATTTCATAAGGAATTCTAGAAGCTATCTATTATCACTCATCATTCATATTTAAGATTTTTTTAATTTAAAATACCATTTTGTAAATATAAGTAATTTATTTACAACTGAGAGAGAAAACTACCTCCTACTGTCTTTTTGCACCTTGAATTTAAGTATCAATTGAATTTCAAAATAATTGGTCCATAAGAATGTATCTCCTACAAGCTGTAAATCACATGTTAATACAAATCGCATATACTATTATAGTTCTTTTTGTAATGTAAAAGACGGTGCGAAAAATGTAATATAATCACCTTCCTATAAATTTCTCTTTTTTTTTTCACCCATATCGACCACGGAATACTAAATTCACGGGGGTGGTGGTGGACTATTCAGATACTCTGATACAAAATATGGAGTCCAACTCACTCGGATGTCTTGTAGCACCAATTAGATTCCTTTCGGTTCTATTTGCCAATTATGTCTAAAGAAAATTGTTTTTTACCTAAGACTTGATAGAGAGAGAGAGAGTAGGCACAGCAGTACCATATAACTCACTTTTATTATCTTTCCTTCAGTTAGGTTCAGTTCATCTTTATCAACTGCACAAAGAAGGAGAATTATCTTTGCTTTCTGCTGCCATTTTCTCCCTACAACTCAAACCAATTCCACCTTTAGTACCCCCCATTTAATCATTTTTCGTCCTCTTACATACCAGCCTGTTTGTCTGCCACACTAACACTTCCTAGCTACTTCCCAAAAGTCCTTCCACTAATTCTCTAACCCCCCAAGCACCAAACTGATCAAAAGATTTGGTGAACAAAACAAACAAGTTGTAGTTGGTAACCATATCCCTTCACTGTTTGCCTCTTCCCCTCTATCCTCTTTTTCTACTCCATGAACTTGTAGTTGCAAGCCAATATGTTGTATTACCTACGGGAAACATGAGCCTTAACTTCCAAAATCTCCATTTGTGGTGGAGAATCACATCCTTCCTTCTCCTACTTCTTCAATCTGCTAAATCTCTCAACTCTGATGGTATTCTTTTGCTTAAATTCAAATACTCCATCCTCAGTGACCCACTATCAGTCCTAGAGAGCTGGAACTACGATGATGTGACTCCATGTTCATGGCATGGTGTTACATGCACCGAAATTGGACCACCTGGTTCCCCTGGCTTGTTCAGAGTAACTAGTTTGGCCCTTCCCAATAGCCAACTTTTGGGTTCCATTTCTAAAGACTTAGGCATGATTCAACACCTTCGCCAAATCGATCTCTCCAACAATTTCCTCAACGGCTCTCTCCCCAACACTATCTTCAACTCTTCCCAACTTCAAGTGCTTTCCCTCTCAAACAATGTCATCTCAGGTGAACTACCTGAGCTGGTTGGTAACCTCACAAACCTTAAACTTCTCAACCTCTCAGACAACGCCTTTGCCGGGTTGATCCCAGAAAAGCTTCCTACTTTACCAAACTTAACCGTTGTTTCATTGAAGAGTAACTACTTTTCTGGCAGTGTCCCAACCGGGTTCAACCATGTAGAGATTTTGGATTTGTCCTCCAACTTGCTCAACGGTTCTCTGCCAAATGACTTTGGAGGCGAAAACTTGCGCTACTTGAACCTCTCCTACAACAAGATTTCGGGAACAATACCTCTAGCATTTGCAAAACAGATTTCTGGAAACACAACAGTGGATCTCTCATTCAACAATCTAACGGGACCAATACCAGGGTCTGAGGCTTTGCTCAACCAGAAGACAGAGTTTCTATCAGGGAATGCTGATCTCTGTGGTAAGCCTCTGAAGCTTCTTTGCACTGTTCCCTCTACTGCATCCACTGCTCCACTCAACGGCACCACATCTTCACCAGCAATTGCAGTCATGCCAAAAACAATTGACACAACACCTTCAACAAACACAACAGGAACCACCACCCAGAATGTCTCACCAAGTGGCCTAAAACCTTCCACCATAGCAGCCATTGTGGTAGGAGACTTAGCTGGCATGGCCCTTTTGGCCCTCATCATTCTCTTCATCTACCAACACAGGGAAAAAAGATACACAAATCCAAAACCAAACATGAATGCTTCTGTTTCCAGCAACTCAGAAAAGAAAGAGGAAACTGTTTCAAGACAAGTGGTAGATGTGAGAACAGTAACACTAACACCTTCTCTTCCGTGTTCCTGCTTAACAATCAAAGAAGAAGAAACTTCAGAGGCAACAAGCTCCGACAGTGACCGCGAGAGCAACACTGCGGTGGACATCATCGGCGCACAAAACGGGAACACTCTTGTAATCGTCGACGGTGAAACGAACCTGGAGCTAAAGACTTTGCTCAAGGCTTCAGCGTATATTTTGGGAAACAGCCACGTCAGCATTGTTTACAAGGCGGTGCTGGAGGATGGGAGAGCCTTTGCCGTTAGAAGGATCGGTGAGTGTAAGATTCAAAGAATGAAGGAGTTCGAGAACCAAGTGCGTGCCATTGCAAAGCTTCGCCACCCCAATTTGGTTAAGCTTCGTGGCTTCTGCTGGGGTCAAGATGATAAACTCCTAATATGTGACTATGTTCCCAATGGCAGCCTCGCTACCATGGGTTACAGTAAGTTCACTCCCCACCTTATTTACCACATCAAATATCATTCATAATCATAACAATTCATTAGGTACCTTAATTAAACACTTCATGTGGTGTTTTGATAAGGTTTTCCAATCAATCTTGACAACTTTTTTTATTTTTTATAGGAATCAGTAATTCTGATTAGAAATTTATAGTGCTTGACAACAAACAGACGTAGGACTATAAGCTCAATATATCAGTGTGCTTACGTTGTCCATTCTAAATATATATGATTAATGCACAGCTAGCAAAAACAATACTAAAAACTAGTAAAGAACTATATGTCTGCATATTTTAGCTTTTTAAAAAAAATTAATTAAACATTCTTTAAGTGTGATAAATGATGAGAATTATATTGTTTGATGGAGGTTTTATATATTATATTTAGGAAGAGGAGGTACATGTTCTTTGAAATTGTCCTTGGAGGGGCGATTGAAGATAGCAAAAGGGGTGGCACGAGGATTGGCCTTCATTCACGAGAAGAAACACGTGCATGGCAACGTTAAACCGAGCAACATTCTATTAAACTCGGAAATGGAAGCCGTGATAAGCGATTTTGGGGTGGACCGGCTCCTGTTGAATGACGTCGCGATCGCCCACAGAGCAAACGGTTCGGCAAGACAACAAGAGCTAACATTGGGTTCAAGCCCCTACACG